TCTCTTCCATCACACCGCTGCCAGGGAATCACGATGGACGCACACAGTACTGGACGCACATGAGAGCAAAGGAGCAGGAGGTACCTGGAGGAGCCATGGACTGGGATTAGAGCGGTGTACTGACGTAAGAGGGAGGGAGAGGTCATCAGTCTCCAACCACACCTCGCAACCTTTGACAACCCGTCGCTTCGCTCACCCGTAGCCGTGCATACCATGGGAGAGCGATATTGGGGAGTAAAGCATGGGAGATAAAGATCGCAAAGGGGAAGAGACTGGGCAGGGAGAAGAATGGTCGTGAGGTGGTTGTCGGCTTGGCCGCGCGGACGGCCCAGCGGAGAAGCAGTCTAGATTATTATTTTATTGGATTGGAAGGGGTGGTGGAGATTCGAGGATAAGACATGCGTTTCTCCTCTTAAATCTCTTGTCAGTTACAGAACAGGAGGAGCAATTGCGTTCAGTTACTTAGAGAAGGAGAGAAATAGTGGTTGCGTTCGGTTACTGATAATTACGTAAAGTGAAGATAGAAGGTAAGGGTTAGAGGTGTATCACGCATTGAAAGCCACAAACTAATCAGTTGATCACCATCCCTATTAAAACTAAACAATTTTAAGAAAACTTGCTCACATGGTGTAGTGACGTGGAAGCCTACATGTCAAGATAATTGGTTGTAGTGGGCTGATGATGTAGATAGCCTGCATGTTAAGAGAAATGAGATAGTGGGGATGAACTATTTAGATATTATAGATTATAGATTCCAGCACTACATGCTCACTTGCTACTAGTATTTGCTTCTGGAGGAAGATGTATATATACGAGACAAATGCATGCTCGCATCCGATATGCATGTATGTTGTCATGATTCTATTGTTGCACCCGACAAGCATGCAATTTGTTTGTGATATATGCAATCCCACACCCAGATCATCTGATAGGCATGTATGTAATCAGCAGCCAGCGAGGGAGATGACCCAAAAGCCGGCCCAAAGGGCTGGCGGTCGCTTGAATAATTGTTTGCGTCGAGCTCCTGCACCAAAACAGTGCAAGTGGAATTCCACTCACGGATCTCAAGCAAAACACTTTTCCCGAGTTCTTTTTGGGGAACTTGATCGAGAGTTCTGGCTATATAACACGTTATTCTTTCTTGGCATATTATTTCATTCCTGTTGTTGTACAATGCAAGAGGAGGAGGACGTCAACACAAATATCAACAGAGGCAGCTAGCTTGGTTTCTCTAGGGCACATGGGGCTCTAATTCGTTTTTTTTAAGAATTGGGCTATAATTTCTTAAATCAGCTAATCGCTGACCAAGGTGCGGTGCGGTACTTCCCTTCGACCACACCATGCATGGCCTGCGATGCGCCATGGTGCTTCCCTGTATAGCTGGTCAAACGGGCCGGTCCGTCCCGGCATGGCACGGCCCATCCTAATCGTGCCTGACACGGCCTGGCCCGCGAAGGCACGATTATTATATGGGTCGTGCTGTGCCAGCCCGCGTGCTGCAGCCTGCAGTCCAGACACGGCCTGTATGCTAATCGGGCTGGCCCACCGGCATGCTAGGCCTGCTAATCTGCCTTCTATTTTGCGCACTGGGCGTTTTTTAATCTATTTTTACCTGTTGGGCCACATTAGGATACATAAAAAATAAAAAAAGATAATCGGGCCATGCCGTGCCAGCCCGCGTGCTCGGCCTTCAGGCCCAGGCACGGCCCTTGGCGTGCCGCGTGCTGAGCCTGGCCCGTTTAGCACGTGTCGTGCCGTGCCAGGCCCGTACCGGGCCGGCCCAGCTATCCCGGCCCGTTTAACCACCTATACTTCCCCGGTGACCCGACGCGCTCAACCATTGAAGGGCCCGGTGGACAAATTAAGTCTAAAAAGGGGTGATTTAGTTAAAAAACACAGCCATTGGTAGGTCGGGCGAGGAACAGTCATAGGTGATAGGAGGTTCCCCTTCCATGATTAGCTTTGTTCTTTCTATTCACCATTTGTCTATGGATGGATTCCATGATTGTAATGGCATACCCCTCACCCTTCGTTGCCGCATCGACTCTTTCACACTACCCGTATTTTTTGTTTTGCTACAACATCTCGTACAATTAATTGTGCGTAGCCAATTACTAGAATGTCTACTAATCCAGGACTAGAGGTAGAGTTTGCCAAGATTTACTACTGTCAGCGATATTTAGTATTTGTCCATGCTTCACTTTATAATATGGTGCATGCATGCAGAAATAGAAAATAAAACGTATGCATGCATAGCATGTATGACTCTTTCGCTTGAAACAGCCCGGCTGCTGTTTGCTGATGGGCCCGGCCTTAATGCCGTGGATCAATGTTCTTTAGTAAAGATCAAAAGAAGGTTGTTTCAAGCACCTGAAAGATAGAATTTGGAAAAGAATCCAAGGTTGGATGCTGATGGTAAGAAAGTTATAATTAAGTCGGTTGTTCAATCAATCCTTATTTATTCCATGGCTTGCTTTAAGTTGCCTAGAGGTCCATGTGAGCATATTAATGGCCCAATCCAAAAGTTTTGATGGGGTAGCAAGAATGAAGAAAAGAAGACGACATGGGTGTCCTGAAAAACAATGACAAAACCAAAGTTCATGGGAGGGCTTGGCTTTCACGATATCGAGCTTTTTAACCTTTCCCTCCTTGCTCGCCAAGCATGGAGATTGTTACATGAACTTGACTCACTTAGTGCCCGAGTTCTAAAAGCAAGGCACTACTAGGGAAAAGGTTATAGATAGACGCTTATTAGTAGCGTGGGTTTATAACCCTCGCTACTGCTACTTAGTAGTAGCGTGGGTTTATAACACCCGCTACTACTAAGTTGATAGTAATAGCGCGGGTTTATAACCCTCGCTACTACTAAGTGATTTTCACCGTGCCCACAGGACTAGCCATAGTAGTAGCGCGAGTTATAAACCCACGCTGCTACTAAGTTGATAGTACTAGCGTGGGTTATAAATCCCACGCTATTACTAAATGGTCTGCACCGTGCACCCATGACATGCCATAGTGGTAGCGTTGGATTAGCGCGGGTTATAAACCCAACGCTACTGCTAAGTTATCTCCTTGCCGCCCCATCTCAGCCTCTCACCCCTGCTCTGCCTTTCTCTCCCCCGACGCCTCTCCTCGTCCTCCACTCCCCACGTTTCCCCCAACCAACCCCGCCACCACCGCCGACGCCGACGATCTCCTCCCCCAACCCCACCGCCGGCTCCCCCACCTCACGTGCGGATTCTCCTCCTCGCCGTGCCCTTGTGCCGGCCCCAAACCCTAGCTAGGGGTCCCCTTCTCCGGGCGCGGCGCGGCGCGGGAAGGGCTCCCTCTTGCCCGCCGCCGATGCAGACGGACCGCCGGAGGTCCTGCTACTTGCTCCTCCGACCCTCCTCCTCCTGCTGCTAGTGCGGACCGACGCCATGGAGGTGAGGTTCCCCCTTATCCTCTCTTTCTCTTCACCACAGGCAGCCCCTGACCCCCTTGGATTCGATTTGGCAGGCCGTGTGCAGGCGGGGAAGGACAGCATGGCGCGCCTGGTGCGCGAGCTCGAGGGCGCCGGCCTGCTCGTCGAGCGCGTCCGCGGCGTCCCCGCCGAGTTCATCAAGGTCAGTGCGGCCGCCTTTTTTCCTTTTTCAGTTCGTTTTGCCATGGCATCGTAATTCCAACTAATGAGGCGGTTTCCGCGAGATTTTGTTACGAAGAGGACTTCCCCCCTCCGCCCTGTGTTGTTTATCTAGACTAGATTGTTGTAGTACCTTGATTTTAGCATTCAATCCCTGTGACTAGTAAGTAGTGGATAGTAGAAGAATGTGTTCATAAATTCAGTGTAAGAATATCTACAGAAGATTCAGAGCAAGAGATGGTTCTTTCATCAGAGTTTCCTCGTTAGATGAAGATTTTGTTTACTTAGACTGCTGCAGCACCTTGATATTAGTTTGAGGGTATCATAATTCAATCCTGTAACTAGTAGTGACTAGTGGAAGAATGTGTGCACAAATTCATTGTAGGAATGTGTACACGAATATTCAGTGTAAGAGTTTTATTGCCATTTTTTACCCCTCAAATTTTGGTAGCCAGGAATTAACGTGTGTACAGAAACAGAATTTCCTGTCGATCTGCTCTATTGTTTAGCTGATGAACTGGAGCGTCTGTTTGGATTAAATTGATTTATAGTGCATGTGGTTTTGCTGTTCCAGTTTAGCTGTCCGCGCCCATTGGGATTCTGGGCAGAGCCACTTCTGAGATGCAGATGAAGAAGCTTCTACATCTGTAACTCGACTAATGCACCAAGTGTTTGAGATGTGGCGTCAGACCGTCAGTAATGTGTTCGTGTGCTCATTGTTTAGGATGGTGGTGGTAGACTGGTAGCTTTCCATATCGCATGTACCACTTGTCCTTGCTTGGCATCATTTTATTTTGAGAATCAGTACTACTTGCCCAATTTCCAGTAGCTTGTTTTAGATGTTCGAGAGCTAAATCAGTGATTCTCTAAGTACTGAACTGAATCTCGCAAATGCTTTTGGCCATCATATGCCTCTATCTAGAAAATTCAAGTCCCTTTCCGTTATGCTATTATGCCTCCCCACAAAATTCTTGGATCCCTCTCTCTTGCTACTTAACATGCTGTGCAAGTGTACAACTTATATGTGAATACACTAGAAAAACATGATATGCTTTATTTGTTCTCGTATAAATCCAACAAAGTAGTAAATGCACTTGTCTTACATATATTAGACAGAGTGGGGTAACCTCTGCAAATAAATAGCAGGCAATTTGCCTTCAGTAGCAATGGTTCTGCATATAGATACAAAAAATGTTCGATCTTTGCGTGTTATTTTATAACCTGTAAGACAGAATTTCATGTGCTGCTCTGTTCTCCGAATATTGGTATACAACTGATGTGATCCTTCGTCGAATAGTTTTAAACTTGTTCAGCTCATTTGCCATGGTAAAGAACTAAAGATAGGATATTTCATCGTCTTTCACTAAGTAATCATGAAATGTCAGCTTTATTTTACAGCTTTAAAGATACAAATCTTTGTGCTTCTTTGGTTGTAGATAGGAATAGTGCATACATGGCTTTGCAGAGTCAATTTTGCCCTTTTATCGTATCAAAACTTACCACATACTATTATGTGACGCTTTCGCTAACCGCACAATCGACTGGGCAGAACTACGAGGGGCTTAAGCAGGAGCATGATAAGAAGGTGGGGCTGCTGACGAAGCAGGAGGTGAGGGGTGTGGACTACCTCAAGATGGAGAAGAACATGATGGAGATGGAGAGCCTCGAGTCCAAGATGCTGGTGGCCACCCAGTCCATCGACACCACCACCTCCGAGATCATCAGGCTCAGAGAATCAGAGCTATTCCCTCAGCTACTTGAGCTGGTTGCTGGGTCAGTACCACACTACCATCACTCCTCACTCATTCATTTACTGTATGCATCCAGTACTGGTACCTCACATGTCTCACTACTTCATGTATCTGTCGTTTTTTGCATAGTACTACTTGCATATGCATGGTCAAGAAATAAATAAATATAAGCTTGATGATATAGCTAGGCTGGGCATATGAACCATGGTAAGGAGCTTCCCAGATGAGGCCTGTGATAACAGCAGTGCCATTAGTTCTTTGCTGTTTTGATCCTGCCAACCACTGATTCAGACCATGCATGCTGCTGTTTCTCTTTGGTCCTCATGTAAATGCACCCTTGGCACTGTAGCAAGTCAACACTCACTGGTTTGCAAGGATTTCATTTACATCTAGTTGAACCAACATTGAAGGAAATCTTAGTTCTTAGGCGTGTTACTTTCGAATCACCGGCATTAGTTCTTTGTACCACTAGCATATTGATAACATTAGTTACAATATTTCCCACTAGCAACAATGAACACAGCACAATCTAACCTATATGCACAACACAATACATACAGTTATCGAACTAAAATCAATCAATGTCCTGAGTATTTAATACAAACAAAGGTAATCCCCTAGGCATAAGTAACATGAGAAGAAACCATGTGAGAATATGCAGAACTCGTACCTGTATCTGATCTTTGTTACCAGCAGTGATATTTCAAACAGTCCAGCAGGCCTCTTTCTTATTGCTTTTCTTGTGATTTTGTGTCTATAGACTTAGGAGACAACCAAGAGCTTGATGATCAATGATGCACTGTAGAATAGAAGACAAGCTTAATAACACGGAAAAATGAACAAACGAAACTATAGAATCTCTAAGGAAGCTAGTAATCACAGATAGGAATTGTAATTTGCCATGCAAGTGAACACATAATTATTTATTAGTGTGATCACAAAGCAGGCTATGTAAAACTTGACGAGCATTTTACTTGAATAGGGAAACAGACTAGGCAGGATTTCAGTCGACTGTTGGGGTAACAGTGTAGTAAAGTGAGCAACCAACCTATCAGAAGAAACTGTACAGTAAACAAACAAAGATGAGTGATTCAAATTTCAAATATATTTTATAGACACTTGTCAAATCTGATGTACAATGGCAAACATGATGGTTATAATATATCCAAATAACAATATCCTCTCTAAGAGTTTAACTCAAAAGTGCATTTTTGAATCCAAAGTAGCTAGCGGAGATCAAGTGAAAGGTTGTTGATTGTCCCAAAGTTCTTTCCTCTACAAAAGAGTGTAATCTTAACCAATGATTATTTCCAACATGCAAGGACGTGATCACACAAATTTATATATTTTAATCTCATATGCTATCAAGCTTTTCAAGTGCAGTTACCAAGCACCGCTTTTATTTAAGGAAGAAGTTGCTGATTTTTTTATTTAAATAGTTGATACCTAACTAGGTGAACGAGAAAATTTCTTTTCCCTATTCGTGCATGTTTGCTAGTACTATTTGGTTGAACTGATGCAATTTGCGTACTAATAAGTTTTCACTTTCCCGACGTGGGCGCAGAGGTGATCGATGATGACTAGCACGGCCCGGTGGCGCTGTGCTCTTCAACCACTCGGAGACGGATTTTGCCGTGAAGCCTGGTTGCCATGTCGCACAGATGATCGTCCAGGTGATTTCGACACCGGAGGTCGCCGAGGTGTGAAGGACCTTGACGCCACCGTTCGAGGGAGGGAGGATTCGAGTCCACCGACGTCTGAACTCCGAGCCTAGGTAGATACATCTAGAGAAGTGGTCTGTTTAGGTTGGTGGTAGACCACTAGGGAAGGTTGTGTGTGTGTCTGATGTTAAATCGAATCTTGAGATGGTTCTATGACATGTTAAATGGAATATTGAGATGGTTCAGTGACATTGGTTTGTTTTGCATTGGACGTATTACCATTCATGAATACTACATCTAATTTTTATTTTTTAATTCCTAAATTGTTAGTAGTAGCGTGGGGAGGAAACTGAGCGCTACTAGTATATAGAATACTAGTAGCGTTGGTTTTTTACCCACGCTACTACTATTTCATTAGTAGTAGCGCGTGTACGTAATAGCAGCAGCGTGGGTGGCACACGCTACTACTAACTATTAGCTGTAGCGCGATACTAGTAGCGCGCGTACCCGCGCTGCTAGTAGCCATTTTACCCGCGCTGCTAGTAGCCTTTTTCCTAGTAGTGAGGGATTACCCCAACGATCATCTCCTGGACGCTACATTGGGGTCAGATCCATCACAAATGTGGAGATCCATACTAGAATGAAGAGACACTCTAGCTTTGGGATTAATTAAGCGCATTGGATCTGGGTCAAGTACACATATATGGGAAAAGAATTGGCTCCCAAGAGACTACAAGCTCAGACCTTCATCCACATTTGCCAATGCGGCACTGATAAGGGACAAGGACGGTAACTATCTGGGTTCATCAGCTGTACTTTTTGATGGACTAGTTGATCCGACTATTTTGGAGACGCATGCTTGCTGCGAGGCCATTGTTCTGACACAAGATTTGAACATTCGGAATTAAGTTGTTGCCTCGGACTGCCTCGAGGTCGTCACAAACATAAGGAAGGAGGCTTTGCCTTCATACGCACAGGTCCTGAACGATATTAAACTTTGTACTAGTAACTTCGCTTTCATAGATTTGCGATTTGAGTTTAGAGAAAATATCTTTTAAGCGCACTCTAGCAAAAGGAGTTGTGTCTTTGGAGGTGGGTCGCCATCTGTGCTAGGTGTTCTGCCGGATATTGCTTGTATTCCGCTTGTTATGATTTCTGAATAAAGCCTAGTTACCCTAAAAAAGCTATTCATTATGCTTTCCACAAAAAAGAGAATGCGAGCACAACAGTCTAAGAAACGTCTATATATGTACCTAGCTACGTACTGCAGGTACACAAGCCCAGAACTGTACACTGGATGTTCTCTGCAGATCGACAATCTAGAAATTAAATACATCAAAGTGTAAAACCATAAACGTAACGATACTATCTAGTAGAAGTTTGAAGAGCATAAACCTCAACTTGCCTATGCAACTCCCCGTCGCCAATGCTTCTGGTGCTTGGCGGAAGCAGCAAAACGGGATGGTGCTTCTGGACGCTCTGCTGTGGCAAAACCGCATCTAACAGCGCTGATGTCTTCCACTTTATCCCTGTTGTAATATGCCTACTATATCGCCTGCCCAATTTTCAATGAAAATTCAGGCGAGGATCCCACCCTCCGACTACGACCATTTGAGGGGAAAAAAAGCACACTGCATTGCAAAGATAAATAATTAAGTAGCTGCAAGAATAATGGATAGAAGGACCTCCACTGAATATTAATAATTTCAAAAGAGTATCATGAATACTAATTGACCACGATCATACCGATCTCCGGCTTATTACATCTGCGAATTCAATAACTGCAAGACACGTCATTCCAATTTAACTATCCTCTAGATTCACGATCTAGAAATAAAAGCTAAGCTCCTAGCATGCCGGAGACGGATGTACTTCTGATCTAGTTGGGGGCGAAGAAGATCTCGGAGTCGAGCCTCTTGGAGCGGAACAGCTTCTCCATCTCCGGGGTGGTGTTGAACGCCGTCTCTAGGACTGCCGGGGAAATTGCCTTCCACACCGACGTCTTCCCTGCCAAGTGGCTAAAGATTGGGCTGCATTTGTTTGACAATAACACAACGTTAGTTAACCAAATTGGTCAGAATATAATGGAAATGTACGGGAAATAAAAATGCAACATGCTGCAAGATTACAATAATCGTACAAAAAAATCACAAAGAATTCGCATAATCTTTCTGTATAACTCCCTTCAAAATTATATGTATACTAAATATATAGAAAGTATATATGACAGTAGGAGACTAGTTTCAGTACCTGTTTCCTGTATATTTACTTACAGTTAGAAAAGATACCTTGCATTGTTGAGCATATATGGAAATCCAAAAATATCGAATAACATTGAAAATAGATGTAGGAAACATAAATTAAAAAGGTGAAAAACATGCCACAGAATTTTGGAGCTAATTAAAGTGCTATTTTAGAAAGAAGTTTCTAGCTGAATTGAGCAAAACGGAACCAAAATATACATGACAGAAAAAATGCATCAGATCAGATGCGTATGCATAATCAAGACTTTAGTTTAGGTCTAGATCTTGTACTAGTACGTAGCAAGAGAAAGAGCATATTTTGTAGTGCACTTACTTGGGAGTGGTGATGATGGAGAACCACTCCATGCCGGTGTCATCGGCTATCTTGGAGACGACGAAGAACCTTGGCACGATGAAGAGGCACCCTGCCTCGGCACGGGTCTCGAGCACGCGGGTGCCGTCGATGCCCACCACCTGGACGCGCCCGCCGCCGCGCACGATGTAGGTGACCTGGTACGCCGAGTCACATGAGAATCCCGGCGAGCACATGGAGCGGCCGCCGATCCTCACCAGGTCGGCGCCCAGCCCGACCTCCTTCACGAGTGGCAGGTTGGCCGTGTTGAGCACCACAACGCAGCCACCCCCCGGGATGTCCACGTCCAGAGGCGCCTCAAGGCAGTTGAGCACCACGCCCTCCCGGTCCTCGGCGCGCGGCTCCGGCATCTTGTGCCCGGCGGCGATCTTCACGACGCCGGAGCCAGGCTGGGTGGAGACGATCTTGGCAGCAGCGTCCTGGTCGAGGTCCCAAGCGCGCGCGACGAACTCGGTGGAGAAGCCGGTGAAGATGCCGCTGGCGCCGGTGAGCTGGAAGTTGGTGAAGCGGCCGGGGGTGTGGCCCTTGGGGGTGTCGCCGAGGAAGAGAACGACGAGCTCAGCAGAGGAGCCCTCGGCGTTGTGCCACCAGGTGACGGCACCGAAGGGGAGCGCGAGGGCGTCACCCTCCTTGACGGGGATGACCTTCTCCTTGGCCGCCTCCGGGAGGACGAGGCCGCAGGCGCCGGCGCCCTGGAGCACGTAGGCGACCTTGGCGGAGTCGGAGTAGCTGGGGAGGGCGAGGCCGCCGGAGGAGAGGTGCAGCTTGGCGGCGCCGATGGAGGCCGCGCCGAGCATGGGCAGGTCGGCCGGGGACCAGTCGTAGTAGGCGCCGCCGTCGCTGCCGTAGGCCTTGGCCGGCTTCTTGGGCGACAGGTCCATGGACAT